TATAATTTATATATGTAAGACAAATATTAATAACAAAATTATATGAATATATATCGAACAACTATATGAAAAAAATGACCGTAAACGAAATGTATTTAAAATGAACTTTATCAATAGAGTATAGAGTGTACCCATTAGGAATAGATACGATATATACTTTCGCACAAATATAGGTGTACAGGAGTATTTTACTTAAACCTACATTAAAATATACAGCAGGGTCTACATACATATACGTATATAATATATATATATATATATATATATATATATTTACATATATACATATATAGATAATAATATAATAACCATCACCATCATCATCATCATCATCATCGTCGTCGTCGTGGTTATAACATCATTGCCAACAACATCAACAAAATATCAACGCTATCAAAAGTAATAAGTGAAAAACATATGTTCGCCTTCGGACGAATTTTTAATACCCACCACTTCAAAGTTGTACAGCAATATTGAAAAGCTTTTTAATAAATGTTATCAGTATCAGTTAGGCGATCTGCACCATTTCACAAGCACCTCTTCGGTGATGCCTCGTTGCATTTTTATATAGTTCTCAAATAATGTCTATCTTGCAAATGAAGTTATAGTATAGAAATTCGCCTATTTTCGGCGTGACTCATAACAAATTTAGCCATATGATAAGACTAAATTTGCATAGTCGCAGCTTTCTACGCAGTAAGACACGGATGGATGGATGCACGGACGGACGGATGAACGGGTGAATTGTACATATATCTATATTTTCCGATATTTGATGCGTATTAGTAAGTTTAACATGTTATGTAAGGATAAGTATAGCATCCATCCTACCATGGTAGATAAGACTGTGCCTGTTCACACAAGTCTGAAATGCTATATTCAACTTTCTCTTATGTCTTTTGTGTCCCCCGATGCTATATATATTCTTAATTGTGGGCGAGCCAACGAATCCATTGAAAGATTGAAAAACTTTGAATCGATGCCTGTTTATGAAATTAATGAAAATATATTAAAAATTTTCCAATATAATATAAAAACATATACATATATATATATGCGAAAGTTCAGCTTTCGTTATCTGTTTATACGACAGTGGGAGTTTGAAAAACAGACGAGAGGACGGCAATCGCACACACAAATTAATATGATTAAATTGACTGAAAAACTTACCCAAATCGAAAATGTATTTATATAGTGTATATATATACACACATATATATTTCATGGCGTCCCTGATGCATGTTAGTGTGTGTTACAAACACAATGACAAAAGTTGAAATATTGATCTTTCGGTGGTAGGTATTACATAGAGAGAGAGAGAGAGAGAGAGAGAGAGAGAGAAGAAAAACAAAAGAAAAACTTGAACTTTGCTCAAAAAATGCGACCAAAGCATGAATTTCTGGAAACTTCGACAAAAGAAAAACAAAAAAAAAACAAAAAAAATTAATAAGTAAATAATTAAAATTTCATTATAAATAAATTCTGCAATCGTTCATTCCATCAACAGTATTATGCTTCCGTTATGACACAAAACACAAATAATGCTGTAGCATCTTTCCCATAATCAGTCTATACAGATATAGATAAAATATATCCGATGATTTTACATGAATTTTTAGAGTCGAATCGATGCAATTTGGCACTGTATCGTTGAAGCGAAATCTATTTCTTATTAAATAAGTCTTCTCCGTAGGCAATGACAGTCGATCAAAAGAAATAATTTTTTTAAAACCTTTGAGTTTTACATATAATCAGTCCGTTTAAGGAGACCTTGTATAAGAGGATGGATAACGTAATTGCCTATGTTTAAAAGAAACGAACTCTTAAGCCCCCTCATTATTTCAGTCTGCACTTTTCTGAACTGCCTTTGGAAAAAAGAAAAATTAACAAAAAAAAAAAAAAGTGTATCTTTTAAGTACGTGCTGCTGCCATTATTGCAAACCAAAATACAGTTAGAATATGAAAATATTAACAAAATAATAATAGAGTAATCACATTAAATTGATCAGGAATTTCTTAAACAAATAATAAAGAAAAAGAAAATAACTTTTCTCAGGGCAAAAGTACAATTTATAAGAAGTAAAAAAAAATAAATATATATATATATATGTCTAAAAAATCGAAATCTAAATAAATAAAAAACATATATACATTGTAGTTAAAGTTGTAAGAAACACCTATTTCTACCTCAAATCAAAAACAATAATTTTTATTTAAATTACATTATAAATAAACTACGCATTTATTTAAGAAATCATTTTCCCCCGTCATTTTTTTGCTATATACATATATATAAAAGAATGTTCCCCTTACTTATTAATACTAAAATGTCCCCATTAAGATTTTGTAAACAGTTAATAATAAGAAATATCGTTAAATACACATAACACACACACAAACAAACAAACAAACAAACAAACAAACAAACACACACACAGTCTTAACGTCAAACTAGTCAACATTTGCAAAAATCTAGTCAATAGTATCAATATGTAAAATTATTTATTTATTTATTTATTTTATGTAAATTTTTTAATTTATTTTTTTTAATATATTTTTTTTTTATTTTTTTAATCGCATTCTTTTATAATTAAATAAGCATTTAATTTAAGTAGAAATACGCTTCCCGAATTAATTTGATCTAAGTAATATTAATAAATTGTTATGTTCATAATGAATGAATTGAGAAGAACTTTTCAGAGAAGAACCCACAAAATAAGCTGAGTGCCTTGATAGTAATGTTATCTTTTCTTAAATGTAATTTCTGTTTCTTTTTCTGATCAGTTCTTTAATAATTTTCTTTTATTTCCTTTTTTTTTTTAAAATTATTTTGTGCATAATCTTAATAAAAAAAATTCCATATTTATTTATTTATATATATGCATATATATATATATGGTTTTCTTTTTAATTTTTATTTTCTTTTAATTGAAATCTTTCGTTTGGAATAGACTGCGCTTCGACACAGTATTTGAATTATTTGTCTATGGGAAGTAATTTCAATTTTCAAAAGCAATGCTAATTGCGCAACAAAAACATTTTTTACCTGTGATACATGATTTCTTCGTTTCCCCTTAAGAAATTTTTGCCAATTTATATCCATCTCATCATTTTTTATGTTTTCGCTTTTTCGAAACAATATGAACGAATATAAGAAAATTGTTTGAATGGAAAATGTTTTCACAATATTTTCCCCTTTATTTCGTTACATTCTATTTATTTGCGTAAAACAAAACATTTAAATTGATTACGTAAACGGACGGGGACAAACAGAAGAACAGTTGTTAATGGATGTTATCTAACGGTTACGTTATCAAAATAAGAAGAAAGTGTTCGACAAGTTTCATTTTTATTCGTTGTTATTTGGTCAATTCTCATATAGACAACAAGAAAATCATCCGATATGCGGTCATGTGTAAGCCAGTGCTGACCGACATATTACATGCAACAGTAAATAACAAATGAAAACATTATAGAATGACATAGTTCGTCATTAAGTAACCAATATCGCCCTATAGTTATGCATATACCTTATTATTTTTAATGGGAAAGTATTTGAAAAAAAAGACTCTGTGGTAACAGTTTCCAATAGTTTTCGTCCTTTAGACAAAAGACAAAAACACACCAGTGTACCAAATTTCATCAGAATATCTCAAAAATTGGGGCCTGGGAGATTGGAGACAAGACAACAATTGAGACTGACGGCGGACGGGCAGAAAAGCAAAGATTAATTGAAAAAATGATTCTGATGTGAATCTATTTCAAATCCTTCTGAATGTTGCATAAATCCAAG